TTCAAGAGTTATTAATGATGCACATGCAGCAGAAATTGCTTCATGGATTGATAAAAAAGACCAAGCATATTCTGCAAGCGATAATCCATACGAATTTAAATTACTTCTTCGTGGAACTAGAGATGGTTTTACATCTGATTCATTTTGGAATTTGTGCAATAATCAAACACAACTTGTCGTAGTTATAAAGGTTAAAGGTACTAATGAAATTCTTGGTGGATATAATCCTATTGGATGGGATAGACCGGCTATATTTCAATCATCTAGTAAGAGTTGCAATGATAGCTTTGTTTTCTCATTGAGAAATGCTAACATTCAGAATTCTATTCTAAGCCGTATAAAAAAAACAGATTGTGCGATTTACTGTAGCCATAATTATGGTCCAGTTTTTGGTTGTTATAGTTGGATTCTTGTTATGCATAATGATTTTAATCAAGATAATGGGTGTTGGTGTAGTAAAACTTCTGTATATGAAAAACAAATTAGAGACGAGTCAACTTATGGAACAAATGGGGCTTCATGTTTTTCAGTAGAGGAATATGAAATATTTCAAATTAATAAAAAGTCCTAGAAGTTTTACACTAATTTATTAAAAGATAAACAGCTGCGATTTGAATAATAATGGTTTAACGTTAACTCTTTATTATTGCTAATACACATACATTCAATAAATTACTATAAAGATTTTTTTCATTAATAGGGTTTATGGGGAAATTTACACATCATATAAAAAGGTTTAATATGAATATTCTTGTTTTAATGTCTTTTTTTTTCGTATTAAAGTTATTTACACTTTTTAAAGATATATATTTTTTATAATGTACTTTTTAGTCGAAAATTGCCTCTAAAGGTCTTTATATATATGAAAATTTAGAAATATTATCTTCTCGAAAAAAAAGATTTCTTATAAAGAATTTAATAAAAAATCCATACAAATTGTCATTAAAAGCATAATTAATTATAAAATAAAATAAATCACAAGGCATTATCTATTATATGCCCGCAAATATTCTTTATACATATACCTTTATTAATTAAAAAAAGTCCATTTCGACAATTTATTGTGAGGATGTGTAATAATTTCACTAGTAAATTTTATGAATTTAGGCTAATTTTGTTAATTCCGACTCGAAATTTTGGAGATCTTCCTATATAACATATGAGTGCATATGATGGATCAATAAAGCTCTTTTTAATCAATTAAATATTGAGGAAAATTGCGTTATTGCAATAAGAATTTCTTTAATATTTAATAGGAAAAACAAAATTAAGTTTAAGGACATAATAAGGTTTCAGGTTTTAACCATAATCATTTTACTATTCAACGATGAAATTTGGTATTTAAAGAAAATGGGGTTCATAATTTATTGGTAAGATCAATGTAAAATGAGTATTTATAAAATAGAGAAAACATTTCAGCCACATAACAATTGCATAGCAAAAATACCGTTCCTGATGGAGTGGGAAAATATATTTACATAAAGAGATGCATTGCTATCAAGTAAAGCCACGGTGTAATATTTGGCAGTCCCGTATTCTGTTAAATCTAATTCTAAGATTAATATGTGCAATAATTTGCATGGCAATTATCTCTTCGGTCATAGAGTAATGGTTTTTCGTCACTAATACTATTCCACTCGGCAAATATTGTAAATTCGTAAAAATAATACTTGATTTGGTGGATTTTTAGTGTGAATTATTTTTTTTGCAAAATTGTTGTCTTCAGATGACCTGAGTGCTCGAGAGAGAAAGCATGTAAGTAAAGATTTATTCCCCGAAGAATCGTGATTCAGTAATATACTGTAACATATCAATACTAGACATAATTAGTAGTTAGATATTGGTATGTACTAAGAAATGCCCGTGATTAATTAAGTAATATCAAAATTCTTAGGAGATAAATTTTTCTTACAGTTAAGCTTTCCCTCTCGAGCATTCATTCGCATCATGTACGTACTGTACATTACGTACATATTACTAATATACATCACTACCAGAATGTTTTTTTTTATATTAATAAAGTGCAGTAAAAAGAAAAACCTTTTATGTTTCACATAAATGCTCTAATTTGAATATCATTGTTTTGAAGATTTTTTTTTTTATTAAAGTTATTTATGCCGTTTAAAGATTTTTTTAAGATTTTTTTTTTTTAACATATTTTTAATCGAAAGGCTGGCAATAAAAGACTTTATATATTAAATATATTTTTTAAATATTTCATATTTGAAAATTTTAGAGTTAGCTAATTTCACTAATAAAGATTTGGCTATAAAGATTTTTTAAAAAAAATCCAAATAAATTATAATTAAAAGGAGTAATTAATTAATTAATTATAAAAATAAAATAAAAAACAAGTTATTATTCAAAATTAATTCTTTATATGTAGTATAAAATATTCTTTACATATATATTAAAAAATGATCATTTCCGCAATTTATTGTAAGGTTATGTACTAGGTTTATGCATTTTTTACAGGACTGATGTACTTTTACTTAATAACTTCATTAGTAAATATTTATAACTTTAGGTAATTTTTTTTCTAATAAATCTGATTCTAATATGCTATATGAGTTTATATCATGGATCAATACAGATCTTTTTTATCAATTAAATATTAAGCAAAATGTGCAATTGCAAGAAGAGTTTTATTTATTATTTAATGGGACATAAGATATATTCCCTGAATTTGAAGACAAAATTTAAAGTTTAAGAACGTAATAATTAAGGTTCCAGGTTTTAAACTATTGTTATTTACTGATTTATTAATTTGACGAAAAAAAAATGGAATTTTAAAGGAGAAACGGATTATAATTTATTGGTAAGATCAATGTAAATAAAACGTTTATAAAATGGAGAAACCACTTCAGTCGCAATAACAACAAATTACATGTATTAGCTGTTTTCATAACAAAAATACTATTTTGATGGAGTGAGAAAAAATCGATTTACATACCGTTCCTTATAGGTTCTAAAAAGCTACACTGCTATCAAGTAAAGTCACGGTGTAATATTTGGAATTACCATATTACTGCCAAATCTGAAAAAAAAATCAATAATACGCATGACAATTAGCCTATACCACTCGACAAATATTGTAAATGTAAAAACTATACTTAGAGTGCTCTCAAGCATCTCTCTCTATATGATTGGTTAATGATCGAGATTGTACACAAGTACTACGTTAATTTAAATAATCCTTACGATAATTTTGCTAAAGATTTCATGTTGTAACTTTATGATAAAAAAAGATGGTTATGCGTAATAACTTTAATCAAGATAATGGTTGTTGGTGTAGTAAAAGTTCTGTATATGAAAAACAAATTAGAGATGGTTCAACTTATGGAACATATGGGGCATCATATTTTTCAGTAGAAGAATATGAAATATTTCAAATAAATAAAAAACCCTAAATGTTTTATACCAACTAATTCAGAATGTAAACAGCTGCGCAAGTTGGAAATAAATAATAGTTTAAGCACGCTATTAATCTAATTATTATTATCATAAAGGCGTTGGTATCCCACTTCAGTCATTGTTAATACATGTCCCTGTAATAAATTACTAGAATGACTCTTTTTCACTACCAAAGCATATTGAGAAAGAAAATTTACGCTTCATATAAAAGTTTTAATTAGATGACCTTATTTATACTTTATTTATTCTTTATTTACTGAAGTTACGTATTACAATTTTTAAAGAATTTTTTTTAAGATTTTTTATAAACATTTCTTTTGACACTTCTTGTATAAAAGATTTGTTTATAAATATTTTTTTTAAAAAAAAACTCTTTAAACCAAACAATTAACTAAGTAAAAATAAAAAAATAAGATATTATCATATAAATAATTATATATATATTTGTGTGCTTTATTATTAAAAAAAAAATCAATTCAGTAATTATTGTATGTGTGTACTAGCTTATCCATTTTTTACAGGGTAGATGCAGAATTATTAGTCGAAAACTTTACTTGATAACTTTATTAGTAAAATTTTTATGGCATTAAGCAAATTTTGTTAATTCCTGTAAGTGATCACGATTCTGATAAATCATGATCAGAATTTTGGAGATGAGTTTTTTATCATGGCTTATAAAGATCATTTTAGTCAATTATATAAAAATTAAGGTAAAAAAATGTGCAATTGCGATTAAGAATTTCTTTACGATTTACTGGATATATTCCTAAGTTTAATGACAATTCTAAAATTTAAGGAAATAATAATTAAGGCACCTGCTTCTAAAGCATCGTCATTTTATTAATTTTACTAATTCTATTTGGCATTTAAAGAAAACAAACGGATCTTAATTTATTATATACTTAAAAGAAAATTAATATAATATGAACATTCATAAATGTATTATAATAGTCAAGATCAAAATGAATGTATCCTATTTTTGTGAATTTTAATTTTTGATGGTGTCCATTAAAACTTAATATTTATTATATATTACTGTATTTACTCATACAATTTATGCAATGTCACGTTTGGAATTTACGTATATAAATAAAATCGGTGACAATTACATGACAGATAATACACGTCACGTTTAAACTGTGTAATAAAGCTATTAATTCAATTTTATGTTTTGTAATGGGTAAATTTGATTTTATTATTATTATCAGCTTTATTCAAGCTTCGACTCATAGTTAGTCTAGTTAATGTTCGAATAAAATATACGAATATCAAGGATGATAATTTAATTATTGATGCTATATAATTTACAGATCTGTAATATAACTGTGAGGATTTAATAAATCGTAATCAATTAAAAGCAGCAACAAAATAAAATTCAGAACTTTATTTGCTAAAACATATTTGATAATCACACCTAATCACATGAACTACTATTCAATTAATCAATATTTTCACTACGATCACGTATTTAGCTTAAAGAAATATTTTCACTACGATTAAATATTTAGCTTTAAAAAATGATGGCAAGCTCAGCATAAAGTTAATTAATAAAAACTTTACCCAACCAATCATCCCATCAATTATATTCAAGCAGCAGCTTCTTTATCTTCCTCAAGATTATCATTAATATCATCGTAAAGTTGAGGACTAATACTTTTAGCCCATTCCACAATTTCTTTACAATAATCCCCCATAACTCCACAAATTTGAGCATCGGAAATTTAGTATTGATTAAAAGCTTTGCTTTATCAGTGGTTAATCAAGTGCACACTAATAATTTCAATTCAACTAATCCTTTACATTGAGCAATTTCTTGAATAAAATTACCATTCTTAAGATCACAATTACGAAGTACAATTGTAGTTAAAGAATGAATATGATTAGCGATTGATGGCATTTTTTTCAACCTTCGATGGTTCACTTTAAGTTTAAATGTACGGAGATCTTTAAATTTAGAAAGAGCTTTTGTTATGGTATTTGAATCGGAATCACTAATAGCTGTTAATCGAAATTTCAGATGTTTCTATAAAAGTAATTTATAAATTTAATTAATTATATTAAATTAAAATTTAAAATAATAATTATACGGTAGATTAAGAAGAATTCTACGTACCACATTAGGACAAAAATCAGGGATCCAAGAAAATACCTTATAAAAAGATCTATCGTCAATCCAAAAGCTCAATTTTTTGATCGATTTCAAGAAATAACCATTTCTAATGCGCTTAAATTGATTATAATCTTTCTCTTCAAGAAAATGACCAATTCCATAATAATCAGCGAAAGTAAAATAATTCAATCTTTTAGATCGATCATAAATAAGCTTCATTACATAAGATTTAAGAATTCCTTCCAATGGTGGATTATCATTAAAATAAAATAATTGAGTAGTTGAATCAGGTGAGGTATAAAGTAATTTAACTTTATCAAGTTCATCCAAATTTCTTGCAGCTTCTTTAATAGAACTAACGAGCATCCAGTAATTAAAATGTTTCAAGAATTTAACATAATCAAAAGTTGGAGTATTGAAAAGATATTTTTTATTTGCAGGAATTTTTGATAAAAATTTTTCTTTTTCACTTTTTTCAAGGCTACCCAAGTAAATAAAAATAATTTCAGGAATATTATCTTTATCTACGCAGCGAAAAGGATTAGACCAAAGTACTGGAATAGCTGCTCGACACCATACTCTGCTAACTTGAATACAAGAGTGCAAAGACTTTCTATTGTTTGAGAGACATTCAATGACTAATGGTAAAATATGACAGTGCATAATTGAAGAAAAATATGTATATCGGGATAAGGACGAAAAAAAAAGAAAATTTCGTGTTTACTGTGCATTTTATATCGGAACAACAATGAATCAAAAACACGTGCGTTGACCAATCAAATCTTTGATCGTGATCTTATGTGACGATCTTTGTCAAAACAATCACAATTCTGGTCAAATTTGCAGATCATTTGGGCTAATCAGGCCGAATGATCTGCAGATTTAATCAGTATTTAATTTCAGGTGTAACGTAAAAACGACCCCTTTTTTTTTTAAAAAAAAAACAATACCTCCTGCAAGCGTTTCTCGTACTAACCTAGGTTGGCCAATGGACCAAAATGTGGCTTAGCAAATGCCAATGGACTATGTCCATTGGCCCAATAGACAATATCCATTGACAATTTATTCAGAACCTATCATAGTCCATTAGGGTAGCTGCACGACGCAACAGTGTCGCACTAAAACCAGGAACATGATATAATTACAATATGAGCACTAAGTACAACACTACAGGGTCACTATATACCTAAGTAGGATCACATGAAATTCTATTTTGGTAGGAGTGATTTTTTTATTAATTC